GTTTCCCAGTTGAACTCCTGAGGGGTTGCTTTGCATATTAGCCTTTTATATATATAGATTCTGATAAAAGTGTTTTTTCTTGACATCAATGAATATGTAACGCTGACTTATCATCTTGTACATATGGTGAAATTGTCCACTTGTAAAAATGTAGACTATAATTGTACCTTTTTTACTTAATTGAATATTATGTCCAGCTCAGTGAAGATTCATACATTAACTTCATAAATAATCTCTCTGCATAGAAATTTTTTCCTTCTAAAAATGAAGTTTTTACTGTATAGTTATCTTTTTTCCCCTTGCTATTCTTAGTATTTTGGGTCTTTGAATTGGGGAAATATTGTATGTTTACATATACATTTATATACATATGTATGTAAATACAGACATGAATCGTATAAACGTGTTTTTTTTCTGTGCAGTCTGAGTTATGAATTCTTTATATTGAGATAATTGCTAGGTAAGAAAAACTAAGTAAAAGTACCAAACTAGTCCAAACTCTCACTAATGGTAACATCTTTTCACATCAGAGTCTTTTATGGAAACTATATACTGTATATGAATGCTGTTCAAAGTGTGAATGGAGGACCCCTGAGGTCACCAGCTCCAGGAGGTTCCAACTTTTTCAACTAAATGTCTGTGAGGTTGCATTTTCTTCATAAACCAAAATAGCAGTTTGAGTGCAGAAGTAGATGTGAGAAGCCAATTGTTTCCTCTTAAGCAAGACATTAGAGAAGTTTATAAGAATGTAAAACAATGCCACTCCTTTCATTAACTCTCTTTTGTTTGGAAAAATTTAGATATGTTTCATAAAAACATGTTTATGTTATATGTATTGGTTTTATTTTAAAATTAATATTAAATTTCTCCATTTTATTTTCTGATATGATTAATATGGATAGACATAACTGGTGATATACTATATCCTATTGTTACCAACTCAAGAGAGCCAATGTTGCTCACCTCTTAACTCTGCGTTTAGATGTGACGTGCTAGCTTGAAACTAGCCATGTTGAGATTGTTTACACCATGGAAATGAGGAGAAACTACAAATCTAGCTTTTTGGTAGGGGAAGGAGAGCTGGCGGTTTAAACACTTACCAGTGTATGACTAGATATAATGCACATTAACAAAGGTTCTTTGGGGTTCTCAAAATTAATTTCTAAATGGGTTAGTCAAGTCTATGGTAACATGTAATCAAGGCAGATTTTCAGCCAAGTGCTCTGTCTTTAGAGCCACTTTACCAGTCTCCTATACTGCATTCCAACCAGATTAAGTCCGTAAAGTGATTTCAAGTCAAAAGGTATGTCATATCCTTTGTGGTTCTCACCATGCTAAGTACATAGCTTAATTACTTGCTGAATGATTAGAAACTACCAGTATTACGTGTAAATAAAAAATGGGGTGAAAAGATTCTGGGCAAGAGTAGTTAGAGAAGTCTTCATGGAGGAGGTGTAGTACATGAGGTGGATCTTGAAGATTGTTTGAGTGGTGTATAAGGCTGTGAGGAAGGGGTTAAGCACATGTTAGAGGTAGATTTTAGTGTGAAGAGTTTGAAGAGTTTGTTGAGAAATAATGAAGCAGATGGAGTGGAAAGAAAATCAGGCTAAGGATTTGAAATTTACTGGATAGAGCATATATTTTTAAAGTGGATCAAGTGTGAAGATGAAAGTGATGCTTTCAGGAGATTAATCTGGCAGATCTGTAAAGATTGGCAGGGAGTAGATCTAGGGCGGGTGCTGGGTAGAGGTGGTCAATGGGGGGGAAAGGGGGACATCTGTAATACTTTCCACAATAAAGATAAATTTTTAAAAATAAAATCAGCAAAAACATTTTAAAATTTTTTCAAAAAAATAAATAAGTAAATCCAGGTAAACCTCTCTAGGTCATCTGAAAGGAAGTATAGGATGAAGAACCTGGGCAATTAATTAATTAATTAATTAATTTTAATCCTCACCCGAGGGTGTTTTTCCATTGATTTTTAGAGAGAGTGGAAGAGAGAGGGAAAGACAGAAATATCGATATGAGGGAAACACATTGATTGGTTGCCTCCTGCATGTGCCTGGCCAGGGCCTGGGCTGGGGAGGATCCTGCAACTGAAGTACGTGCCCTTGACTGGAATCGAACTTGGGGCCCTTCGTTCCACAGACCGATGTTCTATCCACTGAGCCAAATGGGCTAGGGCAAACCTGGGCTTTTAGTTCATAAAGACCATGGTCAGAATTCTTCTTTTGCCACTTGTTCTTTCCATTTATAGATAAGATGTGCATAACTAGCCAGTGGGATTGTAAGTAACAAAAGGGGTATGAAAGAGTTTAGTATAGATTAAATGCTTGGTACTGTGCTAGGACCTTCAGTGAGAGGTATTATCAATGCTACTTTTACTACCGCTACTCTGCTACTATTACATCATTATTTGATAGATTGCAGTTATAATAAAGATTGGAGCTGGGGAACCTTCATTGCACATAGGCCTATTCCAATCACTAATGGATATAAAGGATACAAATGGAAACATGGTATTTTTACATACGCAAATGTTGTAAATCAACTAACTGTTAAGATATGGTTTTTCTCCTAATTTGACAAGTACAGCTTTAAATGTGATGGATGACCATTTAGTATTCTCAGGTTTTTCAGTTCTGTTGTAGAACGTAGTGGCAAAGGGAAATGGCCTTCTGTCAACTCCTCTGTGCCCTGCAGTGTACCTCCCTTTCCCCGTATCCAAAGCTCTTTCTTTGCCATGGCATGTCCACATGCTCACTCCACAAGCAACCTTGCCTCACCCCTTATAAGCTATCTCTTGACTACTCTTAATGCCTCCATCTCCATCTTCCCTAGGATTGATAGTTCAGGGCTCTGCATGGGAATTCAGGGTCCTGGGAGTCTGCTGAGGTAGATTGCAGAGGAGTCAGAGAGCATGGCCCTGGGCTGTGCAGACTTCACTGCATGAGGAAGTACCTGACCAGTGGGCCAAAGTGGGTTCTCTGTAGTGCCAGGCCCTGGGCAATGGCCCCTTTCACCTAGGTCTCAGGGTGGTGCTGAAATGGATCATCTGACATGAGTACCAATTCAACAGGACCAATTTCAGAGTTAGACAAAATATTATTCTATTTTGAGCTAATTTCCCTTGGCTCTAATTTCACTGTGGTTTGGTATACTACTCACTGTTAAAATATCAAGGCGACGTTGAGCATGTTCTGTACCTCTTCGTTAAGCTTCATTACTATTAGTTATGAAATATGAGAAAATGATGGTGGAAAAGTGAAAGATCACTGGGTTCCAGGAGAATGATAAAGCCACTGAGAAAGTTAGGAGAATATGTGGGAGCAGATGAGGTGGGACCCGAATGCAAAATAACTGTGTTTTATTTACCATTTTATCCTAATCAACTGATAGCACATTGCCAAGCATATTGCAGTGATGCAATAAATGTTAAAGGGCAAGATGAAGATACTTTGAATAGCTGTGTCAGAGATGTGAGAAAAAAAATCATTGTAGAATATAGGAAGAAATGAGGAAAATAAGTTCTCCTGGGGCCAATGTGGAGCTTTGAGGGAGAGACCATCTTGTTGTGAATTGGCATGGTAGTGTGTGAGCTACCTGAGCGTTTGCACCATGTATATTTAATATTTGTACGGTATGTGTGGTACTTAACATAGTTGTGATTCTTAAATGAATAACTTAATAATATATGAGAACAGGCTTTAAGAAATGAATTGGATTTTAAGGTTAAAGTGATAAGTGACAAAGACAAATTTGTTTCATCAGTGAACTGGTATGGTGGCTAAGGAACTTGTAAGATAGCAAGAAAAGAGGTCTTGAGCAATTTTGTTAGTATCAGAATGACGTAGTAAAGGATGTAGTCATAGAGAAGGTATTGTAACTTGTTTGGAGAGGAGTAGAAGATGCAGATAACTGTATATTAGCTTGAATTTTCTAACTTGATATTCACATAAAAAGTTAAATACAGGGGAGCTTAAGTTGGAGAAAAGAATTAGAATTAAAGGGGTAGGTAGAATTTTCTTAGAAATAGGTATGTATAATTCATAGTCATTTTGCTCAAAGTTGTTCTGAAGTATTGTTTAGTCATTTAGTGTATAATAAATATGTACAATAATAATATCTCATGTCAGAAAATATATAATATTTCATAATGACAGTAAAGTAACAGGACCATTTGATAATAGGGTTAAAATTACCAAGTTCTTTTTGAGAATTCTGGTGTGTTAACTAGTAGATTATTGCATTTTTGCTGTAGGCAGCAAACACCTGTGATTATTTTAGTGATCTTTGTCTTGTCTTGTTCAAGTAACCTCAAATATGTGTATTTAGACTGTTGCCTGTTCATATATATTGAGCTGTACCTGTTTGCTTTGTTATTTCTCTAAGTTTAATGGACCAACATAAAAATTGATGGCAACTGTTGCTTAGTGTCATCTTTACCTTAAAAGAAAAAAGAAAAACAAATAAAACTAAATCATGCCAGACAGCTATGATGCTGTTTATGATTGACTAAAGGATCAGATATATTCTACTAAATTGATTTCTGATATGGGACATATTTAGGGCAAAAAAAGATATAACATGTATAAACAAATACACTTAAGTTCCTGTATGTATAGCAGTGTTACCCTAAATTTACTTTATCAGCCAATAAAAATCATTAGTTTAAAATAGCCTTGCCTGTTCTCTTCTGAACCAAAGACTTCTTTTAAAAATTTTCATAAAACTGAATAATTATGCATGTCTTATTAGTTTCCTGACCTTTGTGACCTGCTTATGTATCTTTACTTATTTATTTTTAAGAACCAAATCTTATTTATTTTAAAAAGGAATGAGTAAAGTTGTGTCAGCTGCTAATCCATTTTCACTTTTACATCTCTGTATACAAGAAATTAGCAGGCTGATTCTCAGAATTGTTTGGTCTTTCATCTTTACAACTTAAAAGTACAGTTGTTGTTTTTTTCTCTCTAGTTGGTTTGGCTCAGTGGATAGAGTGTTGATCCACAGACTAAAGGGTACTGAGTTTGATTCAAATCCGGTCAAGGGCACATACCTCGGTTGCAGGCTCCATCCCAGGCCCTGGTCAGGGTGCAAATGGGAGGTAACTAATCAATGTGTCTCTCTCACATGGATGTTTCTCTCTCACTGTCTCTCCCCCTCCTATCCATTCTCTCTAAAAAAAAAATCAATGGAAAAATATCCTCTGGTGAGGGTTAACAACAAAAAAAATCAATATTTAAAGGTACAGATTTTTCTAGGATTGTTCTCTGTATTATTTGTCCTAACATATTTTTCTTGATTATTAGAATAGTATGCTTATTCTTTGAAAGTTCTCTTTCCTTCCCTGTAAAATCAAAACAATATCATTTTTGGCTAAGGAGGAAGCTTTTAAAAATATAGTCATGTAAAAAAATACCTTAAATATAATTCAGTTGTAGTATCAGATCAGTTCCTGGACTTATTGGGGTGATCACCTCATAAGTTATATGAATGTCTAATCTCTATGTTTTATACCTGAAACTAATGTAATATTGTATGTCACCTAATTAAGAAATAATGAAAAAATAATTGTTATATCACAATATTTATTCATAAACTAAGTAAATAACAGCATCTAGATTTTAAATAATTTATTTTTAATATTTACCTTACTCTTCTTGCTTTTAATATTTTAGGCCACTTGATCATTCTGGCATTTTATGGTAGAGAATACATTGAGTTTGGCTCATGGAAAGAATATGAGGTAATTGATCACATGTTCTCTATAAATTTTAAACTATATGTATGCAAAATATAGAGTATTTTAACATGTCAGATAAGATCTTATGTTTGAATTTTTCAGTAACATTTTACATATACAATTTTAATTACCAAGTTCTTTTTGAGGATTTTGTTTTAAGATAGGTTTTCCTTTCCTGATGGTCAGTAGTAGTTAATACTGTGAGGAATTTTCTTTTCTTTTAGAACTTATATATGTTTAAGGAAAAAGCAGTATTAGAGTGTTCTTCACTTTGTTATGTAGTTACAGTTATTATTTTTAAAAGTGTTGAATAACTTAGCTTTCTGTGGCACTTAGAAACCACAAGAGAACTTCTCCTTCCTACCCTCCTCCCTAACCTGCCCCAAGTAGGATTAATGGCATGCTGCGTTGAAAAGTAGTGGCTAGCACGTATAATTTATAGGGAAATAGTAAGAAAGAGCATTGATGCTCCTATAATGGGAAATTTCTAGGCACTACTCAGGCTCATTTAATGAGAAAACAAATATCAGACCCTTTGTTAGTCTTTTCCCATCTCTTTGGTACCCATGATGCATGGGTTTGGCAGTCTAAAATGGCAGTCAGTTAAGTGTACATGCTACATGCATTTCCACAATTGTTTCACACATTACCAGACATCAAGCTTATATCAGAGGGAATTCAAATTAAAGATAGTAAAATACAGCAGCTATCCGTATGTAATCAATTCAATGACATGGTAGTATTGGAGATCATTGGATTTTATTTATTTGGTGGAATAATTAGCTAACATAGTGCTGATGTCATAATTGTTCTACTCAATAATGGGTTGGTTATGTAGGAAGGTGCTAGAGTTTGGTGTGTGAACTTCTGCTTCCATTACAAGAGGCCTTAAGAAAGGTGAAAAGGGGGTGGGGGCAGGGGTGAGGGTGGGCTGGGTTGTGGGAGGGGCATCAGAGTTAGAATAAGCATTGATTCTGAGTCCATGTAAACTGTTCATCTTTAATCTTTGAGATTATATTTGCACCCAAATTACTTTCTTACCTTTCCACATAGTTGAAATGAAATTGCCAGTCCTTTTAAGATGATAAAACATTGCTATTTTAACATTTCTTCAGTCTTCAGTTCCTATGAGAAGATAAATGTATAATCTCTTGGTTAAGAAACTTAACCAAGACTCAAGAAAAATTAACTGGAGCTATATCCTCCATTTCAAAACTGTTGTTTTATACAAGTCCTCCAAAGAGTGCACCAAATATTCCCTGATGTGTGTTCCAAGTTTTTATACTTTTTTAAATATAAGGTTGTAAGAAAGATAAATTGAATAGTTTTGTGTCTTAGACATTTGTAACATGATTTATAACAAAAAATGATGCATTTATATACAGAAGTTATAATTTAATAGTTTTAATAATCTTTATCATGCTATATTTAAAGGGATATAGTACCAACTCTTTCAAATAGTTTTCTAAGAAATCTTGCAACTTCATCATATTTCTCAAACCATTTGAATTGTCTGTATCAAACAGATAAATCTGACATTCTTTTTCCTTATCACTCAGTATTTACATATGAACCTAATAACTGTGAAAGCTTATATGGGCCTGGAGAAAAAAAAAAGTTTCCATAGTATAGTTCTCTTAAAATTGCTTACAAATAATGTTTATTAAAAATAGTTTAGAGAAAATGTAAAACCCAAAAGATGTGTGGGTAGAATCCTTCTCTTGTATTATTCCAAGAACCAATAGAGAACGATTCTATATGTGTCTATCCGTCCCACTTTTTCTTTTAATATGATTTTTGGACCATTCACTTTGATAGCATTAAAATCCTTTATTATATGTGAAATAAGGTAGTTGACTTGTATAGGGGAGTAATAGGGAAGGAAATGTTTGTTTTTACATATTGTATAGCATATACTTTACATTTATATAGATCATAATTTACAAAGTTCTTTTGTGTGTGTGTAACATCTTTTTTAAAAAATTATATTTTTATTGATTTCAGAGAGGAAGGAAGAGGGAAAGAGAGATAGATACATCAATGATGAGAGAGAATCATTGACTGGCTGCCTCCTGCATGCCCCCCACTGGGGATCAAGCCCGCAACCCAGGCATGTGCCCCTGACCGGAATCGAACCTGGGGACCCTTCAGTCTGCAGGCCGATGCTCTATCCATCGAGCCAAACCGGCCAGGGCTTGTGTGTGTAGCATCTTATTTAACTTTTCCTAGCTGGGTTGTCTCCATAATATGGATGGGCAAACCAGAGACCCAGCAAGATTCTAGCATGCGAACGAGATCTTGTGACTTTTACTCTGGCATTCTTATCCACTATAAAAGTAATTATATTCAAATTATTCAATAATTCAAATTCGATTTTCCAGTCATAAAAGTTCTTCAGGAGCCACCTTGGGACTATTGGTCGCCTGTAGAGCAGGTCCCTTTTGGACTTTTTTCCTTTGAATAGTATTTCATTGGGAGATAGGATTTCAGAGCTATTCTGCTTTCATTTTTGCAAAGACTGTAAATTAGAGTAGCAATCTATGCCTCAGTTTTGTTCTTGCATTCTACTAAAAGTGATGATCAAGGTTATATACCTTTTCCTTACTGGTACTGTAGAGTTAGAAACAAGTGTTAAGCCTGGCATTTCTTTTACTTCTGTTCCTCTTCAACTAAGTTAATTTACTGAATTAACATAGTACACAGGATATACAAGATACTAGCTTTTTACCAGGGCCAATGACAATTGGTGTTCTTTTTTTAATATTTTATTGATTTTTTTTTTTTTACAGAGAGGAAGGGAGAGGGATAGACAGTCAGAAACATCGATGAGAGAGAAACATCGATCAGCCGCCTCCTGCACACTCCCCACCGGGGATGTGCCCACAACCAAGGCACATGCCCCTGACCGGAATCAAACCCGGGACCCCTGAGTCCGCAGGCTGACGCTCCATCCACTGAGCCAAACCGGTTAGGGCATGACAGTTGGTTTTAAAATAGTAGTATAGGGTAATGTTCAATTATTTTTTTCACAGTTCATTCTGAACAAAGAGAGGCACTTTAAAGGGCAGCAAAAATGGATATTGACAAGAGTGAGGAAAGATTGAAGCCATGGTAGTTACTCATTTTGCCTGGGGAAAGGAGGGGAGAAAACTTAAAATCTGTTTTCAAATGTATTTGTTTTTCTCTTTTTTTTGTTACAAACTTGCAGTGAAAATCAATAAAGTAGCAAAATGACAGGTATGTTAGAGACTTGTTATCGTCTTAAAAGCCCGGCTGAAATAGAATGAGTTTAAATTATAGAAAGGGTAATTTTAATTTGTCATAAAGAATACACCCCCTAAAAAGTCAATGAACTCTGGAATGGTAGAGAGATTTGGGAGGTTAAACCCCTTAAAAAGATTCATGACCAGAATGGTTATTCAACTAAATATACATTTTATCTTTAAAATCTCTCCCAAATTTAAAGTTCTTTGACTTTCGTTGACTATAATTGTGTTGCTAATTGCTTGGAAACTTAATGCAATATGCACATGAATATGCTGTTATAACTAAAGAGGATACATGTAATTTATGGATATCCTTTTATTATTTTTTTCAGAGATAAATTAAGATAAAAATTGCAAGTGCGTTTCAAATTTTGGATTATATAAAGAACTATAATGCATTTAATCTAAGAGATAATATAAATTTAATCTTATGTGCACTTAAAAAATACTTGATAGAAATACAAAGGAAGCTAACAGTCAAGAATGTGAGAATAAAGCTCTATCCCTTATCAAAGTAGTCTAGAGCAAACAGCTTATAGGTTTTTGAGTTAGTCAAACCTGAGCTTGAATCTTGGTTCACCCACTTATTAATTCAATATCTTTATGTAATATGGGATAATAACTGTTGCCTTGCAGACTTGTAAAAATTAAATAAGGGATATATGTGAAGTACATAATCCAATGCTTGGCACAGAGTAGTGCTAATAAGTGATAGTTCTCTTCATTTCCCCTGTAAGTCTTATAGTTTCTCTGGAAGTTTGGTTCAGGAAACCAGTAGACAGGGAGGAGATAAATGGGCATATTTTGGAGATAGGGTTCAATATACTTCTTGCATTTACTATTTAATTTTTCAAATTTTACTGCATCCTGCTATAGTCCACAAGAATTTATTGCTTTTTTAAATTAAGGAGAAACCACTTTTGGACCTACCTTGAGCAAAAGCTTCATTATCAGACCCACTTTTAGGAAGAAAGCTATATAGAGTTGTAAGTAGGAGGAAACCACATGTAAAATAGAAAATATGAAACATCTTCAGATCTTAACTCCTGGAGAAACTCCCTTTTATCAAAAGGAAGTGAATGTTTACTTAAGAGTTCAGTGTGATACATGCATTATTTTCTTTCAATTTAGGGTCCATCAGTTCTCATTTTGTTTTATTTTAATTAACATAATTGTCTTAGATTCCCTTCTAACCACTACTTACCCCACCCCTCCCTCCTACCCCAGCTAACACAAGTCAGCTTACTACTATAGTTATCTTGTATTTCCTTTGTTAATCTGTACTAATAAAAGCCTATGTGGTCATCACGCCCTCACGCTGTGATGCCCTCACGCTGTAACAATCCGTCACCAGGAGACTGCATGCGTAGCGGGCGAGCGCGGGTAGGCGGGGACTTGACACTACGTGCGCAGCACGGAGGTGGGTCCTGGCGGCTCTGCGTGGCACTGAGGCGGGACCCCCCGGCTCTGGCCTACCTCTTTGGGGCAATCTATCAAGGAGCCCTGGATGGGTGGGTGGGGTCTACCTCTTTGGGGAGATCGATCGCCGGGCTCCCGCACTGTGAGAAGGCACAAGCCAGACTGGGGAACACCCCCCCGCCAAGTGCATGAATTTTGTGCACTGGGCCTCTAGTTTTATAATGATAACCAATATTTATTAAGTGCTACCCATGTGAGAGGCACTGAGTAAATACCTTATATATACTCACTTAACCTTCACATTATCTCTCTGAGGGA